ATGATTAATGGATATTCAATATTTCGACCTTTTGTAGGGGAGGTACCCGAATGAGTGGACCGATATATTCCATCATAACTTGGGTTTATAAAAATATTTGGATTTGTGAAATTTTAAGACAATCGGATCCTTACATCACATTTTATAAAATTTGTAATTATTCAAAATATTCACCCTTTGTGGGGGAGGTACTTGATGGAGTGGACCGTCCATTTTCGCACCTGGCCTAGCACTGACGCAAATATTAGCAGAATCGAATTGTCGTTTCCTTTCTGTGCAGAAAATATATTTATTTAAAATCTCGACCGTTTGTGGGGGAGGTACCAGAAGGAGTGGACCGATATATTCCATGTAAACACCAGATCTTGGGTTAATATAAATATTGGGGTGTGTGAAATTTGAAGAGTTGTAATCATTCAAAATTTTTACCCTTTGTGGGGGAGGTACTTGATGGATTGGACCGACATTGTCCATTTTCGTACCTAGCCTAGCACTGATGCAAATATTAGGATTTGCAAAGTTGAAACAAATTCGGATTATCCTTTCTGTTTCTGTGCAATAAAATATTATGTTTTTTTTTTTTTTTTCTTTGAAAATTTCGACCTTTTGTAGGGGAGGTATCAGAAGGAGTGGACCGAACTCGATCTGATATATACCTAGTCATATGGCTGAGGCTGTGAAACAGTGTAATTTAAAAAAAAAAAATTCAATTCTAAAAATCGCATATTTTCGATCGATACTTTTCATATTCAAAACAAAAAAAGCACACTCCACCATTTGGAAGGAACTTGCTAAACTTTAAAGAAATCCGTTGAAATTATGGCTAAATTTAAAATTCTGCTCTTTTAAAAGTTCTAAACATCAGGTATCTGTCAGACTCCAAGCACAAAGTTTAAGAAAATGTTGTCTAAAAATGTTGCTAATATGATCAAAATGCCGAATAATGGGATCTGTATGAGCAATTTTCTGTCATAGATGGTAGTAGATCTCCAAATAGAATATTTGAAATAATTCTGATGAAAAGAGTGAAAAACCTTTAAAATACCAAATATGTGAAGGTACAGTTATATGAGGACTATGCCAAAACGTGAACCTACTACTTCAATACCAATAGCCTTGCAAACATAAAGTACATCTGAGTAAAATTTGATAAAGCTACTCTCACATTTCGTTCGGAAGCTAGAGTGATTTTCACAGATGGAAAATTTATGCCGATCAGGAAACTTTGTGGGTTCTAAAATATATATTTCAAGGTATGTACCGCCCATACTATGGTGAAGAGTATAAATATGAACAAAAAAATTTTTTGTCGAAGTCATATTATTCGAACGTGCTGAATTTTGCTAACATTTATGCAAATACGTGAGTTTTATTTTTACTAACCGCTTTCATCGAATACCTACATAATTACCATACCATACAAAAATTATAATCGCGTAGTTTTCGTAATATATGGCACAACCTTTTATACCTTCCATTAAAGTATGGGTATCTTAAGTTTTTCATTCGGTTTGTAACACCTCGAAATATACATTTTAGATCCCGCAAAGTAAATATATTCTTGATCAGCATATGTCTGTCCGTCTGTGGAAATCACTCCAGCTTCCGAACGAATTGAACTATATTCATAAAATTTTACTCAAATGTGTATTTGGTCAATACTTTTCGTATTGAAAATGGACCACGTTTAGGTATAGCCCCCATATAACTCTCTTACCCTATATTCGATATTTTGATGTTTTTGGCGACATTATTCACCGGAATTGTTTCAAATTTCGTTATAATAGTTCGTAATGTGTACTACAGCCTGTGACAGAAAATTGGCTATACAGGTCCACGTCTTCGTATACACCCCATATTACGGTACTACAGTCTATGACAGAAATTTGTCTACGCAGGTCCAGGTCTTCGTATAGCCCCTAAATATCGGTACCTCCCGATATTCGGTACTTTGATGATTTTAGCTACATTATTCACCGGAATTGTTTAACATTTCATATTTGCATATTGTAATGGATACTATATCCTGTGACAGAAAATTGCAGGTCCACGTCTTCGTATAGACCCCAAAATATCGGTAACTCCCTATACATAGTATTATTAAGATTTTATCAGAACTTATAACGAATTCTATTTCTTATTTATTTGTTTTTTTTTTTTTTTTTTTTGAATATTTCCAAATTCTTTTCAAACGGCGGAGGGTTGTCAAAGTTCGGTCCGGCAGAACATAATGCTGTTTCGCTCGTTTTTCTTTCATGGAGAATTTCACGATTTTGGCTTAAAGAAATTTCCGAAAGAATTTCCAGAGATTCAGCCTAATCAAACAAACTATTTTTTTAGTTCGTTTTACATTTAGTTTCTTGTAATGGGTTATTCAGCAGATACAGCTTCCCCGTTTTTGATATGCAAAATTCACTGATTTAATTAGTCTCTCACGTGAGATATAATTTTGTGGCTCTTATGCCTGTTTTTAAAGAAAGGTGTTAATTTGTTAATTCATTGTATTTAATTGAATTAAATATAGAACAATACTTCGGCATAATAAACCGTACCCAGACACATTTGAAGTCTAACCCTTTTCATGTATTTATAAAACACCAGACATTTATACTTACCATCAAAGAATAGGAATTGTTGGTTAGCGAAATAATTCATGCATGATGATATAGTGATATGGAAATACAAATGGAATCCTTGCGAATACGGATATTACTTAAGGCAAACATAACGGATTCTCCAGAAGACACAGTTATATGAGATTTTTCCAAATTCCCGCTGATGTTTTAAAAGTTTTCTAGATGGAAAAACGGAAATAAACACTTCATTGTCATACACACTTACACACACACACATCTTCACACATATAACCACCGTATGTGTGCATGTGTGTCTGCCAATGTGTGTATCTATCCCATATCTGCCTTCAGCCAAATTATGACTTCAAAAGAATTTTCATAATTAAATCTGCTGCCATTAATGACGTCGACAGTTGCGGCATCCCTGCTGCCAACGATGAGATGAAGACATTATTATTACCACAATTTTTGGTATTGTTGTTGTTGCTTTTGTTCTTTGAATTGTTTAAAATAATTATACGCATCATTCACATGAATTGTGAAATCTTTTGACACTTCAAAGTGTGGATAATTCCACTTTTCCAAATATATAATATGTGTTAAGATTTTCCCAAAGAGTTGATGTGTCTGGGCGGAATTTGTTTGCATGAAAGTTTTCGCATTAACACACTTGGTTTTAAAAATGTATAATTGTGTATGTGTAAGAATACACACATACCCATTGTAAAAGGGACCTACAAAACCTTTTGTGAAAAACAAGTTATGCAGGTGAATTTTTCTTGTGTTTGGTGCTAGAGTTTGAAAACAATAATCGGAATTTTTACAAAAAAGTGACAAAAACATAATGTCTTTTTTTGGAACAACTCTAGTTTAGTAAAAACGGGAGACGGACAATATAGGTATCGTTTGAAAACTTATGAAAATTCCTACCCAAAAATTGGTCACATGATCACATATTTATAAGCCGTTCAGAAGTTACAGTCAAATTATCGATTTTTTGGACCCCGATTTTTATAAAACCCAAAAAAGTCGAAAAAGAGCCCATTACGGGGGTCAATAAAATTGAATTTAAAAAACGGACACTCTTACCTTTCCAAAATGCTACAATTTGTGCTGAGACCCCTTTCGGCTCCAGATATATAGGTCATTCAACCCGCATAACCCGATTCTAACCAGCTCATTAAAATTATGTTTGTCTATATCAGGAATGGGTTCGGGTCTAGCACAAGTCTTGAACCCCAAATTTTGGGTAAAAAATCAGGGGTCCCCGGTCCGTCCCCCAAGAAAAAAAATTGGTTCCAGGCTAGGCTAAAAATATCTACCTCTGAAAAAAATAAAGAGTTTTTACTAAACTAGAGTTAGGCCCTAATTTTTATACCTTCAGCCATATAGCTAGAGAGGGTATATATCATTTGCTCCAACTTTGCAAAACCTAATAATTGCATGAGTGCTAGGTCAGGTGGAAAGTGTCGGTCCACTGCATTAAGTACCTTCCCCACAAAGCGTCAACATTTTCAATAAGTAAAACTCTTATAAAATATGATGAAAGAGTTCGATTGCCTTTAAATTACACACATCACAATATTTTTATTAACCCAAGGTCTTCTGCTGCCTCCCCCACAGAGGGTCACAATTTTGAATATCCATGAAGCTCATAAAAAAACAAATTAATATCCGATGATATCCAGACTTATCACATTTTAATACTTCTATCAACACAAAATCTGTTAAAAAGATGGTAGAGATCGGACCATTCCTTCTGGTACCTCCCCCACAAAGGATCATAATTTTGAATAACCAAAACGATCATAAAATCCGAAATAAGCATCCGGTTCTCTTCATATTTCACACATCCCATTTTTTTCTAATAACACCAGATCTGTTCTGAAGATGAGATATGTCGGTCCACTTTTTCTGATACCTGCCCCACAAAGGGTCACAATTTTTAATATCCATGAACCCAATAAAATGCGAAATTAATATTCGATTCCATTTAGACTTGGTATATCTCAATATTTTCATCAGCACAAGAAATATTATAAATATGGTGGAGATCGGACCATTTCTTCTGATACCTCCCCCACATAGGGTCCAAGATTTAGAAACACAAAACGCTTAAAGAAAGCGAAGTAAGCATTCAAATCTCTTTAAGTTTCACACATCCAAATATTTTTGCTAACGCAAGATCTGTTGTGAAGATAATATACATCTGTCAACCCCATCTGGAACTTCGCTGTCAAAGTTTTCCTTGAAATACAGCCGTACAACTCCATATAAGCATTAGCATGCATTTAATTTTTCTCCGAACTTTGAAAGAGAATGACTGACTATAACCCTTTCTTTTACGTTAATTGCCTTTAAATGTTTAATTACTTGAAACCACTTTTAACCTCCCATCCCCTCTCTCCTCTAATTTCTTTGCAGAATTTATGCAACCACAACATATCTGGCCTTATTTACAACAAAATTTCATACATCATCCACATTTTCCGCATCCAGCATTTCTAACGCAGCATCAGCACAATCACAACAACAGCATCATACACAGCAACAACAACAACAATGGCATTGTCGCCGCCAATAGTTGTCAACCGCAAACCACATCATCGTCGTCACCTGGCAGTACGATTAGTGATAGTGACAATCATTCCACCTGCACCGCAAACAGTATCAGTACGAATACCAGTTGTAGCAACAACAATAACAACAACAGCAGTAACACTTTATCCTCCAACAATGGTCCAAATGACAAGGATAACAGTCAACAGCATTCAACGGAATCGGAGGATAACAATCGAAGACATACAATGCCCTTGGCTACGACGGTGGGTCAAGAAAAGCAAACAATGCCTTTGCACAATCCCGGCGGCGGTGGTGGTGGGGGTATTGGACCCCCATTACATACACAACAACAGCAACCGCAACATCCGCAAGCCGTCATTGCAAAACCCCTGCCAAGTCGCCCAACACCATTTCTGCCGCACAGTCTTCAGCATCCTCACTTGCATTCGTTGCTGGCTCACTGTAGGAATCCCTATATGAGTGGTAAGTAGATTTGAACACCCCCACACACCCATCCCCATACATGTGTATGTACGTATGCGTGCGATTTCTAAATATCCTTTCTAAATATGAATCACAAATAATTGTTGCATGCCCTTAGCTCGGGCGGCGGAGGCCGGTGCTGTGTGGCACAAGTGTTCTAATTGTTGTCAACAGCAACACCATGGACAAAATGCACAGCCAGTCAGTCGTGCAACAATTAAATGCAACTGCAACAGCCATAAAATAGTCTATGTTTTACACATATAAAACCCCTTTCCCCTCCACGCTTCCCAGTTTTGCAATTTATCCCCACCACCTACTCCAATTTATTTTGTAATTTTCCCACGCATTTTTATTTCATTTACAGTTGGCGCCCAAGTGTTCCCTCTGCCTCCTGGCCAGGGCTTTCCCTGGGCACATTCAACACGTGGCAAGCCACGTAGGGGTATGATGCGTCGTGCTGTATTCTCCGGTAAGTAGATGTGTGAGCATGACCAGCCGGTCGAAAAATCTTTTAATTTATTGCTGTGGTTTTGCGGACGGAGAGATTACCTACTAACTGCATAACGATTGGGTTATTCTCTCCCTCTCTATCGCTCCCACTCTCTCGTATTTTCACAGGAGAAAATATTGATTGCAATTAATTTTATTTGCTTATTTTGTTCTTCGAAGTCCATAATTTTAATGTTTACTCATGGTTTATTCCAGATTCCCAGCGCAAAGGCTTGGAAAAACGTTTCCAGCAACAAAAGTACATTAGCAAACCGGATCGTAAGAAATTGGCCGAACGTTTGGGACTTAAAGATTCTCAGGTAAGTTTTAAGAGTTAATATAATTAAGTTCTTTCAAAAAGCATCCAATAAAATTTTCTTAATATTCTTAAGATATTCTACAGAAAAAAAGCGTAAAAATAGCTTTTAGGAGTTCTAGGCCACTTCTATGGATAGGCATCTTAACATTCGACTACAAGTAACAGATTTTCTAAAGTCAAAAGTAGATAGAAGAACTTGCAACGAAAAAAAACAAATCTTGTAGGTCTTCTTGAATTTATAACAAGTAAAAAAGCTGTAAGCTCGACCAGGCCGAACTTTGAATGCCCTCCACCATTTGGAACGAATTTGGCAATTTTAAACAAAAACAGAACTTTCAACTTTCTGTTAAAATCTTAAAAATGCCGAATGTAGCCTTTATATTAGGGTCTATACGACGGCGTGGACCTGCATAGGCAACTTTTGTCATAAGCCATTAAAATATTCAAATGCGAAACTTGAAAAAAAATTCGGTGAATAATGTAGTTTAAATCATCAAAATACCGAATATAGGGAAGTACCATTTTATGGGGGGCCTTTATGGGGGCCTGCACAGACAATTTTCTGTTATAGGCCGTAGTATCCATTACGAACTTTAAATGTCAAATTTAAAAAAATTCCGATTAATAATCTCGCTAAAATCATCAAAACAACGAAAATCGGGAGGTGCCATTATATGGGGACATTTTTTTTTTTGCACGGACATTTTTCTGTCATAGTCTGTTGTAGTATTCATTTCGAACTTCAAATACCAAATTAGAAATACCGAATATCGGGAGGTACCATTATATATGGCCTATACCAAAACGTGGACCTACATCACCCATTTTCAATACCAAAAGTCCTGCAGACATAAACACATTTGAGAAACATTTTACCAACCTATTTCATTTTGTTCGGAAGCTAGAGTGATTTCCACAGTCTGACGGACATCGCTAAATCGACATAGAATTTTTGTGCTGATCAAGAATATAAACACTTTGTGGGTCTAAAATGTATATTTCGAGGTGTTACAAACGGAATGACAAACTTTATATACCCTGCATACTATGGTGGAGGGTATAAAAAACATCTGCTGCTATATTCTGAGGGTATTCTATTAGATAAAGACTTTCAACGGATATCTTAATGTAGAAGGCCTAGATTTTATACCCTCCCTACACTGTGCAGGGTATATAAAATTTGTCATTTCTTATGTAACACCTATAAATTTTGTTTGTAACATGGGGAAGGGAGCGAGATAGACCCATAGTTACTTTTTAGAAGAGTTACTTTCTGAGTCGATTTATGCATGTCAGTCCGTCTGTCCATGTATTTTTGTGAACAAAATGCAGGTCGCATTTATTATCCAATTGAGATGAAATTTTCCAAACAATATTTGCTTGGCCCAAGGCCCTATTGAAATTGGTTAGACTCGGTTCGTCAACCGATCGTGGCCATTGTGCCCTGGAAATGGCGAGAAACCACATTTTGTACCCATTCTTGGGAGGCGCGTGCTGAGTGCGACGGTACTGAGTCCTGTTGGAATATCCAAGGTCTGCGGCCAAAATGTTTGCATGCACAAGGCTTTAACACACCCTCCAGAATATTTTCGCGAGAATATTCGGCATTTATTCTGATGCCGATTAATACAAGCGGAGAGCGACCATCGGCTGTTATGGCGACCCACACCATAACTATGGCCGGCGCTGGAGTTCTGGTGGACAACCGAAGATGCACAGTTTCAGCTGATCTCTTTGACAAGTAAACACGATCATTTTGTCTCATCGGAGCGGTAAAACCCAAATTCGGCAGTTCACCACTTTCGGGAAAGCGAAGCAAGTCTTTAGCTCTTTTGAGTCTATTTTCATTCTTTTGCCGAATGGAATATTGCGATATGTTCAGCTCACGGCCCATTTTCGGCCACTGCGATGCAGGTTTCGATCAAGTCGCTTCTTTACTTTTCAAACCATTTCTGTTGATGTTGCTCTTTTCTTCCGTCACTTCCTTGACGTCGGGCTACGCTACCAGTATCGATAAGTAACGAGCAATGGTACAAGACACAAAAGATTTATTCACATTTAAATGCTGGAGTGCTCTAACTATAGCCACTTGTGGTTTTCCAGCCAAATATAAAGATATCACACTAACACGCTTGAATTCCATCTCACGCTTGTAAACAATATAATGAGCTGTCACTGGAATAATTTTAACAGCTGTCGAACGAGTGGCTTAGAGTTGACAGCAGTCTGAATTTGGTTGCAGTTTTTTTCATCCCACCCTATATATAACAAGCTTATTGTGCCCCAAATGACTTATATCCGCCCGAATGAACGGAATTTTGGCAATTCCGACTGAATTCATCCTGGAAACACTTATATATAATTTGCTGAAGATCGGTTCAGATATAACTATAGCTCCCATATATATGTTTCATCCGATTTGGTTTTAAAGTACCTCCCATGCGTAACATGCGCTTCACAACTGTGATATTTGATACCGGGCATCAGATACTGCTCGAAAATACCACGGCCAAAATTTATGGAGATAGGTTCAGATTTTTGTATATCAGCGATATACATCTTTATCCGATTTTACGGTTATTGGTCATCATATATGTAATATCAGGCCACATTGAACAGATTTCTTCATGTTCAACCGAATTTTACCATTTGGTGAAACTCCGTCCGGTATACCTATAGTTCCAATAAATACTTTTTAATATAATCCTTATCTAAATCATATCATGCTCTATACAGTAATGTTATTTGCTTCATAGTCGGTATGATCTACTTCACATAAATTCCCAATATAAACTTTTTTGTTACGGGAGCTCTACAAAGTATGCATAGAAGTGTAGGGTATAATATAGTCGGCCCGTCCGACTTTTGAATTTCCTTACTTATTAAATATGTATATTCTAAACAAATCTCCTTCAACGGGAAAATATTTGTTGTATGTTCTTTGGATAGGATAACATTAAACGGGCATCCCGAAATTTATATCCTTAAAAAGTATTCGTCTGATAAAAATATTCCTTTATATCTCTATATCATGCTCTGCTCGGAAATTCTTCATAGAGACGCTCTATTTGACATATATTACCAATTTTTTGAGGCGGATGAGACTCTTCGTTAGGTATATTTTAAATAGGAATATATGAATATTTTAATTAAAGTTAACATAACATTAACCTCACACCGTTTTCGTCATGAGTTAAATTCCAAAATTCTCGATAAAAAATAACACAATACGATTCTTTACTATTATTTTCCAATACAATATAACACCGAATCACAAAAGGAACAAAATGTGCCCTTATCCTCGGCAAAGCTTATCGGACACAGACAATGTAAAAAAGGCAATAAGAACAAAGCATAAAACAAATACTAGAACAACCAACTGTAAAAAGGACTCCGCCCATTATTCGGTTTGCCTACTTCTCCACTTGTAAAGCGAAACGAAAAAAAAAACACCAAACAAAACCAATCAAACAATACAAAACCATAAAGATGGTCGGTCAAAGGCAAAGAAAAAAAAGAATGGGAAAAGCTAAAGGCCGTCGGTGAAACAATAACCCCTACTTGAGAGCGGCAGGAGAAAGAAATGAACATGACCAATACTGCTTAGCGTTTCAAAATACTCATGGACACAATACATACAAATACATCATTGAGACTTCTTCACTTGAGGTTACGAGTCGGAGCTCTTGAAAAGGATATACACAAATGTATGTGTATATGTGTGTGTGTGTGCTGGAAACTTACACCATTATTCAACTTCAAATACCAAAGCAGTAGTAATAGCAAAAGCAACAACAACAAAATCTGGTTAACACCCCAGACTTAAGTGCGCAGTCTCAATGCCATAGTGCGTCGGTATAAAAACCCAACAAAAAAAGAAAGAGAATAGAATCGCTTTAAAAAATATATTCTTGTGGTTCACAGCCATTTTCTTTGGTTTCCCAATTCACACGCTCCACACTCACACACACAACCAGCCCTGTAATACCAGCATTATCCCACTTTACATATTTTATTCATATTGAAAATAGGAAGCTAAAAAGAGAATATAAAAAAACTTGAAATAAAATCTGCAGGAAATTTATGCATAACCGTGTGGTGAATATAAAATAGGATACCAATTGGAAAATTCCAAGAAAAAAAACTTGTGGCAGACACAATAATTTATACATATAAATGTGTATGTGTGTGTGAGTATGAGTGTGTATCTGCATGTATTTCAATTATTAACTATGAAGATATAAAAGGATTTTTATGTAATTATTGTAATGAAGTTTTCGTTATTAATATTCTTATACTATATTTGGAATAACAACTTTTTTATACAAATTTAGGGAATAATTAAATAAGGACAAATTGAAAGGACCTCTGAAATAAAATTAGCTTTTAGTGGTTTAAAAAAAAAAAAAAAATAAATAAATACAAGAAATAATAATTGTGGAATTTTGAAAAATGTTTGATAGATCCATAGTTATATTTGAGGAGCTTTATAGAGTCATTTTCTGAGTCGATTTATGTATGTCAGTCCGTCAGTCTGTCCATGTATTTTTGTATGAACAAAATGCAGGTCGCATATACTATTCGATTGAGATGAAATTATCCAAACAATATTTGTTTGGCCCCAGAACGAACCCCATTGAAATTGGTTAGACGCGGTTCAAAATTAAAAATAGCTCCCATATATATCTTCAACCGATCTCGGGTTAATTATGCACCGATATCAGGCCAATATCAGTTCAATTGACCAGAATTTTGGCACATTCGACCCAATTCAATCTACAAGCAACTAAATCAAATTCGGTGAAAATCGGTTCAGATATTGCTATAGCTCTCATATATAAGTTTCATCCGACTTGGTGTTTAAGTCCCTCACATTCGTAATATGCACTCCACAATAATGATATTTGGTACCAGATATCAGGTACAGCCCAGAAATATGGCAAATTTTAGCAACATCAGTTCAGATTTGGATATAGCTCCAATAACTGGCCAATATCATTC